AGGAGGATGACTTCAGGTGCCGGAAATGGTGGATGGTCAAGTCCCTCCTCGCCAAACGGATCGAATAGTAGTGGCTCCCCCGGGATGTCGTACACCCTGCCGCCCTCGAGGCCGAGGCGGCCAATGACGTCGGCCGAGATCATGAGGCAGCAGATGAGGGTCACGGAAGGCAGCGATAATCGGCTGCGGAAGACGCTCATGAGGACCCTCGTAGGCCAAGTACGTATTCATTTCAATTTAGATATCTCCATGCATGCAAATGTTCCATGCATTTGCTTTATAATTAATTAATGAATGTAAATTATGAAATTTAGCACAAAGAAAAGTTTAAGGTAATTGATGAGAATGAGTAGAAATTTTTAGTTGTGACCAGAATACGGATAATACACCATATATTTTTATATAAATGGTAGAAAATTTTAATTTTTAAGTTATTAACCTTTTAACACACATAACCCATAATTTATATAGAGACACGTGGTGTACCACCTCGTGTGACGGTCACACCGAAAAATCTCCCAAGAATGAGCACGAAAACCTCTCGAGAAAATTTTCGACATTCCTGGCACACTAAATGAGTTGGCATTCCCAACAAATAACAATTTGCCACCTAGCTCTTAAATTTTTCTGGAATAAAAAATGACAAATGTTAATCCTATGTCAATACAACTCCTAATCTAACCCTAATATCAAGAATTCTCAATAACTCAGACTAGCAAACACATAAAACCCTCCACGCCGCTGCCATACCAGCAATAACCCACCTCCACCGACGGTTGGCGAATTCATCCTCGACATCCCGTCTCTTCTCACTTATTTCCTTGTTTTCTCTCTCATCTTCCCTCCGTTTTCTCCTTCTCTTCGGCATGGGACCCAAGATGGTCGACGACAACTGCAATCCTTAAATCTGCTATCTCCGATTTCCGATATAAGAATCAATGAGGTCGCTGACCTCCCATATGTCCTTATCCAGCGAAAGAAAAAAAGGAAGAGAAAAGGAGAAAGGAAGGGAAAGGGAGAGAGAGAAATAGGTGAGGCATGGAGTTGCAAAAGATGGATGGGTGGGGTGAGGGTGTTGGGCGCAGAGGATCGGAATCTGGGTAAACTTTGTTTTGTTTTTAGTTAAGTTCTTCTTTTTTTTTCTTTTTTTTTTTAAAGTTACACGGGTGAAATTGAAAGTTGAAAAAAATGAATTAATTCAGCTATCCCTAAAAGGAAGAAGGCCAGGTGTTTGATGCTCATTGGTCTGGAACACCAACTGTCACTAGTGAATTGGTATTCGTATCTAGAAAAATTTCTCCCAAAGTAAAAGTTGAGTTTCTCACTCTCATCTTGTTTAATTTAACTTGTAACAAATGATAATTGCTGAGAATGTTACATTCCGTAGTTTCTTCAAAATCCCATAGTTCCCATTACATTCCGTAGTTTCTTCAAAATCCCATAGTTCCCATTTATATAAACGACTCACTTTTATGATTGTGATGTGGTCTGTAAATATGATACAAATAATTTAACGAAGTAGGAAAATGCGATGCATCATGCATGTAGCACAAGTTCAATGACATTGAATTTGGTCGCTAATTAATCATGTTCTGCCTAATATAGATGGGTAGGCGAGCAGAGACCATAATCCTCCCACTTGAACTCCTTCGACATCTAAAGCCATCCGAATTCAACGACTCCCACGAGTACCATTACTGGCAAAAGCGGCAGCTCAAAATCCTCGAAGCTGGTCTTCTTCTGCACCCTTCAATCCCACTAGACAAGTCCAACACATTCGCTTTGCGTCTCAGAGAGATCATCAGAGCGGGTGACACCAAAGCCATAGACACAGGAAAGAACTCAGACACCATGAGAACCCTTTGCAACTCTGTAGTCTCGTTATCGTGGCGTAGCTCCAACGGAACTCCAACAGATGTGTGTCACTGGGCTGATGGCTACCCCCTCAACATCCACCTCTATGTTGCTCTCCTACAATCAGTCTTCGACATCAGAGATGAGACATTAGTATTAGATGAAGTCGATGAACTGCTGGAGCTGATGAAGAAGACATGGTCGACCTTGGGGATCACTAGGCCAATTCACAATGTGTGCTTTACATGGGTGTTGTTTCAGCAATACGTGCAAACCGCACAGATTGAACCCGACCTTTTGTGTGCTGCTCATGCTATGCTTGCAGAAGTGGCGAACAATGCCAAGAGGCCTGATAGGGAGGCTTTGTATGTCAAGATTTTGTCTTCGGTGTTGAGCTCAATGCAGGGGTGGGCGGAGAAGAAATTGCTTCGGTACCATGATTATTTCCAAAGAGGTACAGTTGGCCAAATTGAGAACCTTCTCCCTTTGGCCTTGTCATCCTCCAAGATCTTGGGTGAAGATGTTACAATCACAGAAAGGGGAGGAGGAGTAAAAGGTGATATAAAGGTGGTGGACAACTCCGGTGACCGCGTGGACTACTACATTCGATCTTCTATGAAACAGGCTTTTGCAAAGGTTTATATGCTGCAGCCCATTTGCTTGTTTAACCAGATATCCGGTATGTTATGTTATGTTATCCAACAGTGAATCAAGACCGGTCATGATTTCACAGTTTGGTAAAATAGCTTGCCAATGTTACAATAGGCACTTCCCATTATACCGTACAAATGTAATAGAGATATGCTTCTCATCTTCACATTTTTGTGTAGATTATGGAAGCTGGAAATGTCACTGAAGTGGCAGAAGACGCCGTGACTGATACGTTGTTTCAGTTAGCTCAAGAGACAGAGGAGTTGGCCTTGAAAGAGAGGGAAAGCTTCAGTCCTATACTCAAGAGGTGGCACACAACTGCAGCTGGTGTCGCGGCTGTGACACTGCACAACTGCTATGGAGCTGTGTTGAAGCAATACCTAAACGGAGTCTCCACGCTTTCAGGTGAGACGGTTGAGATATTGCAAAGGGCAGGAAAGCTAGAAAAGGTTCTGCTCCAAATGGTGGTTGAGGACTCTGCTGAGTGCGAAGATGGTGGCAAAGCAATCATTAGAGAGATGGTTCCATATGAAGTTGATACCATCATAATGAACCTCTTAAAAAGATGGATTCATGAGAGATTAAAGAGAGGGAAGAGTGTGTTCACTGTGCGAAAGAAAGCGAGGTATGTTTTACGCTTGCTTTATAACCGTATTTGATAAAAATCCATTTTCAAATTTGAGCTTAAATGAACAAGATATTTGTGTTGTAGACATGGAATCCAAAGTCCAAATCGGAACCTTATGCGCAATCAGCTGAGGAGCTAATGAAACTGGCCAAGGAAACCGTGGATGACTTCTTCGAAATTCCAATAGGAATTACTGAAGATATAGTTCAAGATCTTGCAGATGGGTTGGAGGATCTCTTCAAGGAGTATACTTCATTTGTCGCATCTTGTGGTAAGAGCCATTATTTCATATTAGGGATCAGTAATATGATGTCATGTTATGTTTTGGTATAAGATTAAGATTGTGGTAAAATTTTGTGTTGATCAAAAGATATTTCTTTCTCAGGTTCGAAACAGAGTTATATCCCTACACTTCCTCCTCTAACAAGGTGCAATCGAGACTCGAAGTTCCTCAAGCTGTGGAAAAAAGCTAGCCCTTGTAGCATTGGAGCAGAAGGTTTTCACCCAAATGGAACAAATGATGGTCACCATCCTCGCCCATCAACGAGTAGAGGAACACAACGCCTCTACATCCGCCTCAACACTTTGCATTATCTCCTTCCCCACCTTCATTCGCTTGACAAAAACCTCTCCCTCTCACCTCGAATCATTCCTTCAACACCTCGCAGTCGTCCTGCCAAGAACCGCAAGAGTCACAGCAATGCCTCTTCCTACTTTGAATTTGCAGTGTCAGGCATCCAATCGGCCTGCCAACATGTCTCGGAAGTCGCTGCCTATCGCTTGATCTTCCTCGACTCAAACTCAGTCTTCTACGAGAGCCTCTATGTTGGTGATGTAGCCAATGCAAGAATAAGACCTGCGTTGCGAATTATCAAGCAGAATCTCACTCTCTTGGGAGCAATTCTCACCGACAAAGCTCAGGCCTTGGCGATCAAGGAAGTAATGAAGGCCTCTTTCGAAGCATTCCTCATGGTTTTGGTTGCTGGAGGAAGTTCCCGAGTGTTTTACCGAACTTACCATGAGATGATACAGGAAGATTTCGACAGCTTAAAGCGTGTTTTTTGCACTTGCGGAGAAGGGTTGATAGCCAAGGATGTGGTGGAACATGAGGCGGAGACAGCGGAAGGGGTGATAGAGCTGATGGGGCAATGTACTGAACAACTCGTGGAGGATTTCAGCATTGTGACATGCGAAAAAAGCGGGATTGGAGTTGTGGGATCAGGGCAAAGGCTGCCTATGCCTCCGACAACAGGACGGTGGAACAGATCAGATCCAAACACAATATTGAGGGTGTTATGCCACAGGAATGACAAAGCAGCAAACCAATTCTTGAAAAGGACATTCCAGCTAGCAAAGAGGAGGTGATGGGAATACTTTTTCATCTACATGTGAAGCCAAAGTGTAAGTATCTACGGAGCATTTTAGAACCAACTTCGGGCGTTGTGACCGAAGAAGAAATATTCGAGGGAAATGGGAGGGGGCGCATGCATTGTATCCAAGCCTACAGAACTTTCAATGCCAAACCAAATATATTGCGGGGGATCGCGATGGAGAGATGATTGTACAAATTTGTCGTTGTGATTTGTAGGTATTGATTGTTAATCCTTGTCCCCAATTGGGACATTGTTGTATTGTATCATAGCCGTTGTGCGCAAATGGAGTTTGTGAAGGTCATTTTTCGCAAAACAAATCAACTCTTAATATATTTTTACGCCGTAATTCGTTTGCAAAAGCTAAACAGATTCAAGAGCTGTTTCTGTTCAGAAGTTGAAGCTATTCTTCTCTTGATTTAATATTTACACACACGCGCGCATATTTATTATATATGTTTCAACTTTTATACACCTAGATCAGATACTCGCAAACATTAATTTGACAGATTTATATTTTATTTTTCTCATTTCATTGACAATTTTGTACTACAATCAAACATACACAAAGCAGAGACCCCTTAAGTCACTTATTAGTTGACCTATTTCTTGAATCGCCTTCTTTGGACGCCTTGTACGTCGTCTCCCTCAGTTCTTCCGTGAGCACTTCTATCGAATCCGAAATTTCAGCCTTGTACACATACATCTTAGTCATAAACAAGAAGAAAATAACGTTCAAAATGTTTAGTACCGTGAAAAATGCGTAGTAGTAATCGAGATGAGAAGCATTAAGGTTGTTCAGAATCCATCCTTTGTGGCCATGCTTTTTGGTTATGTGAGAAACTGTTGAAAGAAGGAAACTACTAATAAAGTTTCCCATTCCTAAAGTGGTCATGGAAAAGGAAGTCCCAAGACTCTTCATGCTTTCTGGTGCTTGATCGTAGAAAAACTCAATCTTGGCAACCTCTAGAAAAGCATCAGCTGTTCCCATAAGCACAAATTGAGGAAGTAAAACCAATATAGTGATCGGAACTTGTCCTCCGCTCTCAACTACTCCATGTTGCTTCGCAAGATGAAGCCTGTACCTTTCAGTTAGAGATGCAACGACCATAATCAAAATGTGGAGAACCATTCCAATTCCCATTCTTTGAAGGAGAGTGATTCCTCTAGGGTTTTTGGTCACTCTTCGCATGATCTTGACAAAGAACCGGTCATAGAGCACGACGCTTACAAGCATGGAGAGGGTCACAAATGCGGCTAAACTTGCAGGGGGGATTTTGAAGCTTCCGAGTGATCGATCGAGGGTTGTGCCTTGTTTGACAAATAGGGTATTAATCTGTGCAACCATAGTGCTTGGTACAAATGTGGCTACCAAGATTGGAATCATTCTTAGCATTTGCTTGGTCTCTTCTACTTGGGTTACTGAGCATAGCATCCATGGACTAGTTGAGCCTGTTTTCACAGCAGCTTTGTTGAGAAACCTGCATGAATGTACACATTAATTACAAAAATCAAAATCTTCATGGGAACTGTTATTAACACTCCGAAAATCTCAATCTACACTCCTCACAAGTGTTTTTTCTTTCTAATTATATAAAGTTTGAAGTGCCAATAACAATTCACAATCTTCAAAAAAGAGATGGCTAAATTGAAGGCTTACTCTACAATCACAACTAGACCTAGCATTTTAGAACCAACCCATTAACCTAACCCGACCCACCCGTTAAGATTAGTATTTGTACAAGGTCTAGAATTTATATGTATAATGCATTGAAATATATTTTAAGCTCAACATCAACATATAGAATATCAAATGTCTAAAGGAAAATGATTATCACATGACCTTTTTCTTTTTCTGCACATCCTTGATTATTTTTATCAATTGATTCTTCTTTGATTTTTATTCATTCCAATGACTAGAAATAAACATAAATGTGTACGTTGAAAAATAGTGTGTGAAATTCACTTTCAATGCCTAAACCAACATTAATGTGGTAGTTATGGGCGTAACCAGGATGACAACAATGTGGAAACACTTGGCGGTGTTGTGTTAGGGTAGAAGTTTGTGCCAAGTTAGAGTTAAATAGAATAGGTATATATCTTCATGTACAAAAATTTAGAACATAAAAAGTATATCGGGCCTTTGTGTAGCTCATTTAGCCCTTCATGTAGTTACGTCGCTAATAGTAGACAAGATAGTATAAGCAATAGCTTAAAAGTAATGTGTATATATACACAAACCTTAGGGTTGGTGTGGAATCAATCCTGAATTTTCCCTTCTTTTCATACTCCTCCAAGTTAAGCTCATGGAGCTCCTTAGGGTCAATAGGGAGTGTCACACTTCCTTTCCTCAATGCGGCCACTATGACCTTGGCCATCCTTGTGAAGGGACTTCCACTTGGCACCTTGTGCCTATAAAATGGTGTGCCAGCCAAGAATATCAAAACAGATAGGAGAAGCCCAAGAGTTGGAAGCCCATATCCCAAGGCCCAGCCCACATTGTCCTGAATGTAGACAAGCACTGTGTTGGCAAAGAGTGTCCCAAAGAAGATGCTGAACATCCACCAGTTGAAGAAGGAAAGCTTATGTTTCTTCTCCTTGGCGTCAAAATCGTCAAATTGGTCTGCTCCAATGGTTGAGATGTTGGGCTTGGTCCCACCTGTTCCAATGGCAAGAGTGTAGAGGGCCCCATAGAACACGGCTAAATGGAGTGTGGAGGCCTTCTTGCAGTTTTCCACGTGGGGATCTAGGCAGGGAGGTGGTTTGAGGGAAGGAAGTGAAACTGCTAGGGTTAATACAGACATTCCCTGCAAATTATTCAAAATTTGTTAATTAACAACCACAGTTCTTGGGTAAATTTATTTATTAACATGTATCGGGAACATTATCATGTACTGTTTAATATTCTACTGCTCCTATATGAAAAATTCTAATTTTAGAGTATATTAACAAAAAAAACAAAGATAAATATGTGTATAATTTCAGTAGAATAATAATATTATGTGACAGTAATTCAAACAGACATCAAAATTGTTGCCTAAATAATTAATTAGGGTTTTCAAAAAGATATAGCAACTGTCATGAACTAATATTGTTGATTGCGTTTGACCCCAATCAGATGTCACAACCAAATACTTTTTTTGTACGTCCTGATCCATCTGCCAGAAATACTATTTTTTATGGTTGTTTCAAAGATGATGGCGGTGGCGGCGTCATTCGCGGTGGCAATGGAACAATGGTGGCGGTTGTAATTGTACGTGGTGGTGACAATGGCGGTGGGGACAGTGGCAGTGTTAGCAGCGATAATGGTAGAAGTATGGTAGTGGTGCCAATAATAGGGTGTGTGGTGATCGGGGTTCAAAGGTAACAATAATAGTTGGGTGGCGATAACGGTAGTGGTGACAGTTATGGTTGTGGTGGTGGTTGCAACAATGATGGTTTTGTGGTAATGGCAATGGTGGTGTTACGTTGTGGCAATGGTGGTGTTACGTTGTGGCAATGGTGGTGTTACGTTGTGGCAGTTGTGGTGATGGTGGTGGGTGGTGGTGGGTGGTGGTGGTGGTGCCGGTAGTGGTGACAACGAAGGTGGTGGTAATGGCGGGCCTGATGTTAGATGGTGGCGATCACTTTGTTCTCCAAAAGATAAAATGTGTATAGAAGGATAACTAATGTCATTTAAAAACTAATAAGGGCATTACAAAAATTGAATATATTTACTAAATGTTCAACTCCGTTTTTTTATGAAAGCACCTTTTAAAAGTAACATGCAAACTACTTAAAAGTTGTTGCCTATAAGTCATTATTTTTAAAACATACATGATATTTTCGCTTTGCCAAAAGAAAATATTGCTTAATTTAAAGTGAAGTAATTTTTAGTGAAAAACAAAACCAAACAGAGCCTTAAACTTTGGAAAAAAAAAAACTTTTAGAGATTATGATGTGTTATCCACATATCTTTTTTTATTTTTCACACATCCTTTTAAATTTTCAACCTTATATAAAATAAATTAAAAAAAATCAAATAATATAAATTATCACCAATAAACTATAATTTGGACCAGATCCGCATGCATTTGTTTTTGTGGAATTGTGGAGTTGACTCGAGGCACGAACAAGAAATAAAGAGGCTAAAACGTAGACAGACAAAGACCCAGATGTGGATGTGGGACTTGGATTCTCTCCGCTCAAGGAGAGGATCCTCCTGACCAAATGATTTGGGCCGTTGAATGAAAATTCAACGGTTACAAACAGGAGATCCCTTTAAAGTTATAATAATTATAACCGTTAGATTTTCATCAAACGGTCCAAATTCTTTGGTCAGGAGGATGCTCTCCTTGGGCTCAGGAGAGGATCTAAGTCCGTGGATGTGGACGTAGACTAGTACCCGCGCCGGCCAGAGAAATTGAAGATAGAAAAGTCAAGTTGTGACATCAACACTCTAGATGACAATGACGTCCTTAACCTTACATATAAAAACAGATTTTCCAAGTCAAACTTTCACACACCAGTAATCCAAGCATTGCTGACCAATGTGATTCATGAGTTCTCCATCTATATATCCAAAGTTTGAAGTTTACCATTAATTAATCTCAATAATTATCTAATGTAATTTAAATTGTGAGATAGTTCCGTAATTAATAATTAAATTGTGATCAACTATGTATTGATCTATTGGTTTGGTGTAGGACCTATTGTTAGTTCTGCACTAATATAATTGCAACAGGGTCCTCTCCAGATCCACTTTGTGAGGATTTTAGGAATCCCTACATCGTAACCATTTATCGTACATTGTGCAGGCAGTTTTAGTCAGATACTATTTGTATTTAATTTTAAATAATAAAAAAATCAAATAATTTTTTATTGTACGATACACGATGAATGACTAAGATGTGAAAAATCCTAGGATTCCTACAAAATGAATCCGGATGAGATCCAATTCCAATATAATTACCGGTTCGTTGAAAACACCTGTCGATGCTATGTACAAGTTGTAATGGAATATATATGCATGTTGTTGCAATTTTCTACCCTAATTAATAATTACCTATTATTTATTCAAATACGGGATTTTTCATACTAAATTACTTAATAATTGAAAATAGTTTCTTTCTAGACAATTGTCTGATTTGTTATGCTATCTCCAAAGGATCTAAAGGGTTAGAGGGTCAAAAATAACTTTAAAACTGTCTCTAACCGAGAGCCAAGTCAAAGGGCTCGTGGACTTCACTAGACAAAAAATGGTCAAAGGGCCAACCGGCCCAAACTAAAAAATTTGAATCTCAACAGCTAGCTGTTATTTTTTAATTATTATTTTTTGGGCCAAAAATTTAAAAAGAATATTTAATTAAAGCCCAAAAAGGTGATTGGTTCTATGTGGGGATGTTGCTTTTATAAGCATTTTTGATTGCTCAAACATCTCTCACAGCCGATGTGGGACAAATATAATGGGTGCCCCAAATATAAGCTTCCTATTAGAGATGGTAAATGTGCATTTATACATGTAACTATCTCAAACTAAGTTGTACTAGTAATTGGATACTTAAATTAAAAAATTAATTTAACATACAACTGTTAACCGCCGCAAGTAGACATGAAAATGGCGCCAATTACTACAACGAAGTAAGTGTTTTCACAATTTATTTTTAAATATTTAATTATATTTCATTTAATTTAAGTTGTTGTAGTTTTTAAATTTAAATAATAAATTATGTTTGGCCCTCAATTGGAGATGAGTTTTTGTGACAGGGCTAAAACGAGCTCTATGACCCTTTGGCCCTCGGTTGGAGATGGTAAGAAACATGACCCCTGCACTGTTCATTAAAATATTAATTTCTTAGAGGACCAGAGGGCTAAAACGAGCCATCTGGCCAGCTTTCAGTTGGAGATGGCCTTAGGTTTGTTAAAATAAGAATCAAGCGAATCTTTGTTTAAAATATGATCAAGATTCATGGTTTGATAATATATCATACTGAGTTGAATATGACAATATAAAGTATAAACATTTGTATGACAACTTAATTTGATACTAAATATATATATATATATATATATATATATATTGTTTACAACTAATATTATTACTAAGTTAAACTAAAGGATTGGATGAAGGTTTGAAAGTGTGAAACTGTGTTGAAGAGAAAAGTCTTGTTCACCACGACAATCCATATTGTGAGCCAGAAGTTTCATTTTAAGAAATGTTCTTTTGTTAGACAGTAGCCTCACATCAATCGATTGTGAATTTAAATCAATGTGTTCATGCGTTTTTATTCAAAATGTATGATTCGGATTAGTATTACATTACATGTATATTGGATTTAATTAGTATAATATCGGCGCATTTAAGTTTAAAAATGGACTAGCCAGTGCAGTTTTGACAGAGATAACTGAAGTACGTTGAAGTTAATTTGAAGGGCATACGTACCGATAGGTAGATTAAGGAAGCGATGAGGAACGTCCAATAACGACCGAGATGAGCATCGGCGACATATGCACCCAAAATAGGAGTGATCCAAATGGTGCCAACCCAGTTGGTCACATTATTAGCAGACGTGACAGTGCCTTGATGAAGCTTCTTTGTCAAATACAAGATCAAGTTGGACGATATTCCATAGTATGCCATGCGTTCAAACACCTCATACACTGTATGAAAATATTATAATGTCAAACCAAATCAATGGGGAAGCATAAGGGTTACACACACAATTCAAAGACTGGTGGGCATTCAATATTGCATATAATAAAGTGCAAGTTGGGTATGTATGGATAGGCAAAAACTATCTTCGGTGTATGTTATGCATCTAATAAATGAATGATTGATTATACAATTATAAGGATCTAGCTATCAAATTCAAATCATATCTGAATCTGATGATTGTGGGCATTCAATATTACATATAATAAAGGGCAAGTTGGGTTATGCATGGATATTGATATACGAAAATTTTGTTTCGGTATATTGTATGCAAATAAACAAATAGCTGGTTATGCAGCTAAAGATCTAACTATCAAGATTGAATTGGGAAGAGTATAGTGATATGTCACAATTTCTTTATATTTCGATGGATAGTACTGAATAGAAAGAGAAGTGAATGATATGCAGTTAAAAATCTAACAAGAAAAATTTAGTCCCAAGAATTCAACACCCGTGAATACTAAAAAAAACTAGTAGATATGAGGTGGAAGACAATGTGGTACGAGAGGTCGATCTGCATTCGGTGCATGTAAATATTATCTACATAGGGTTTTTTTTCAAGTGTGCTAATGGATTTGCGTGTTTTGACTGACTTGAGTATAGCTGAAGAAAAAATAAATATCTAAAGCAACATGTATTGTTTGTTTGAAATATCTGACTGACTGCTATTAACAATTTGCTTTGAATATCTAAAGCAATTTATCTTTAAATATCTATAGAGATATATCTATTTGATTCAGTGGCTAAGATTGATTAGTGTGCAATTTTCATTTAAATAATTGTGGGTTTAACTTGTAGTGTAAGGTTAAGTTGTATTTTCCATGAACGTCGCCGGACAAAAAAAGAAGAGCAAATATATAAAGAAGGATTCTATATCCTACATGTGAATAACCTATGACATTATGGCAGGTGCAAGGTTTCTTTTGTGTGCGTGTGTTTTTATACAAGAGATATTAGTAAAATCAACAATTTAACATCGAATCTCGTTGTATAAACCGTTGAGACTATACGGTCTTTTTAATGTATGTGCATATACTTAGTTGTGTATGAACGAGTGAGAGAGAGATGGGTTGACTAGTGTAAATGCAAAGAAAAATAATATTAACGAAAATTGACGTTAAACCCAGTGGCGGAGCCAGAATTCTAAATGAGGAGGGGTCTTTTACACACTTATATATATATATATATATATATATATATATATATATGAGTGTGTAAAAAGTTGAATTCATAACATGTTGACATATGCAATTTCTGTAATCCTCACAAAACTAAAAAAATTCTCTTAAATTCAATACTAAGAAGAAAAAAATGTAAAAAAACCCAGACAACCAAGTAAGAGGTAGGTTGTGGAAGGCAAAAGAAAATACAAAGAAGTAGAAAAAGAAGGAAAAGGGGGAGAGGTCTGCAAATAAAGAAGGTGGGTTGCTTTAGAAAATTATAGGGTGTATATTACTGTTAGGTGAGAATCGAACCAGAAGTGGGGTTGCTTTTTCCATTTAAAATTGCACATCTCTTTTAAAACTCCCCTACCAAACTTATCGTTTCATTAGACAGTCGAAAAGATTTAAAATCAAAACAGCTTAACGACGTCGTTTGCTTCATCTTCTTCCATGAGTTTCACACCTCAGATGAAGTCAGGATGGGCCGGGGACTACCCTAGTCCCTTGGTGGCTCCGCCCCTGGTTAAACCAGAGGTGTCAAAGGATCTACGTAGATTAAAGTACTCTTAGCATTTCCTCATCGATGTAAGTAGTGTTGGCCAACCACTTTTGACTTAAAACTGAGAAGGGAAATAAATATTGCGAATTTAATTTGCAGCTGAGAGAAGAGAAGATGAAACTGTAGTTAATATGAAAGTATGGTACTGAGATTTATGGGTGTAGGTTGGGCAGGGACTAGGATTCTCTCCTTTTTTATTTTCATCATTTTCTATCCCCTCCTCTCACATTCTCTATTTTGTTTTTCTCTTTCTATAAAAAATTAATATAAGATGTTGATGTGGCTTAACCGTGACTATTCATATATAGAAGAGGGAAGGGGAGGTAAAAAAAGAGAGGAGAGAATCCTACACCGTTGGGCAGTGGGTAGACCCTCATTCAAAGGCCAGATCAGTGAACTGTCAAATAAATAATGCACAATTTTAGCTTGTCAACCAGTAACCATTATTGAAAGGTTAAAGCATAACTATGTATGTAGCTAACGTTTTAGTTTCTTCTTCTACGTGTGCATTTTCAGGCATAGAATTAGTCAATTCTCTGTAACTATTGTCTCTCTGAACATATTCCAAAGTAGTAAATCACTGCTAATGGAGGAATGGAGAAGAGCAATCCGAGCTTAATTTGGATCATATTCGAATATTGAGAAGATAAATACCATTAGAAAAAAGACCTATTTAAAGCGTACTCTCTGAGTCTCTGTTAGTCATACCATTAGATAAAGACCTATTTAGGCCGTACTCTCTGAGTCTCTACTGAGGACTCATGCCCACTACAACATCAGAGCAGGAGGGATATATTAGTTTCGAATCCCCTCCAAGTTTCATGGAGTTACCTACAACCTATAGGGCCGACCTTGAGATTTCCGAGAATTGAGCAACTAATAACTATAGACAAATAGGCTCTATAATCCTTTGAAGCATGAGAGTGTTGAAGGAGAAGAGAGGGAGATAAGTTATACGTACCAACAACAAAAGAGCAAGCATTCCATCCCCCTCTCTTGGATCGGAGGACGGGGTTTCCTTTGAGATCCACAGTCCCATCTTGTGTATACTCATCAACCCTCCTTTGCCCAGCTTCTTCACCTTCCATTATCCCTAGCTTGCTTGTTTTCCTTTGGCAGCACAAGAACTAGTAGTTAGCTTCTACAGCTAGAGCAGAGGCTAGAGCTCTCGGTTTTATTCTCACTTCACTTGCTCAGTTGACCTTTTTATACAGACCTCAAATTGAAAACTGCGCTGTCGGGTTAGACTACTTGAAGCATTTTTATATTAGAGAAAATTGTAGCAATGACCTCTTAACTTTAACGTAGTTGGAGCAATAGTCTCTCAATTAAAAATTCATGATCATTGGTCTCTTAACTCATCGAAACGTGTAAATGTGGTCTTTTTCATCAACTTCATGAATTCCATCAAAATGAGTCATGTCAGAATGACCATTACTACTATTAGTAGGGATGGGCACTTAGAACCGAAAACCGAAACCCGAACCAAATCGAACTGCACCGAACGGTTTGGTTTTGCGGTTTTAAAATGGTTTCGGTTTTGAAACCAAACCGCAACATAGAAAACGGTTTGGTTTCAGTTTTGGCTTTTGAAAACCGCACCGCAAATATTAATAAACATTTAATTAAATGTCCATATTATATTTCATGTTTTAATTTGTTGTTTGTTAGAATCCATACACTTAGTATGGGACTCAACCACACTAGAATATCATCATTCATCACTTTCTTTCGTTCATGAACTTTAATGACCTTTGTTATTTTATACCATCACACTCACATATATGTATAAGGGTGTACTAATCTTGTTATCAAGAGTCGAACAATGATCTAATGAAGTCCACTCATTTGAAGCATGATATCACATATTCTAGTATCAAAGTTTCGCTCACGTTTAATAAATTCAAATTTATTCAACTTGTTTTATGATAAACATTGTAAGGGACACCCTTTTGTTGCACAAACATGTTTTAACATCACAACTGAATGAAACATGCTAATTGTTTACATAACAAATGTCTTTTTCTTATTGCTATTGGGAAATGCTTATTAATATGTTAAATTGCAAATTGTACATTTTTTTCTTAAAAACCAAACCGAAACCGTTTGAAACCACACTAAATCGAACAAAACGGTTTGGTTTCATTTCGGTTTTGGTTTCAAAATCGCACCGAACCAAACCGCAAAAAATTTCGGTTTCGGTTTCGGTTTCACTCAAAACCGCACCAAACCAAACCGTGCCCACCCCTAACTATTAGGTAAAAGTTGAGGGACCATTACTTCAATTGCGTTAAAGTTGAGGGACCATTGCTATAATTTTTCTTATTTGGTTTTCCATATTTGCTCATTTATTCAGCCTTACGTGCATAGCATGTGCCTCATTTTGATGGAAGTTGTAACGAAATTGACGAAAATGACCATAGGTGTAAGTTGAGGGACCATTTCTATAATTTCCTCTTTATATTATACTAGCCTTCATGCACACGCAGCATTTTTTGAATCACGGCGTATTACACACGAGTTATACGTTTTAAATGTATTTATATGTATAAATTGACAAAATACAAAAGTTAAATATTTGAAGTAAATGAATAATCTTAGATCATGCTAGAAGAAACCCCTCATAAACTAATTAAAGCGGCTGAATTCACATAATAAAATCTATCTCTGTAGAATTTACTTTAAGAATAGAGAAAATAATATTTAATAAGCAATTGATTGAATCACATTATTGCTTACTCATTGTGACGCTAAGCCTACCCCCTCCTCCTTAGTGTAGATAATATCATTTGTTAAAAAAAACAATTATTTGGCAACTAATTTAATCACATTATTATCTGCGTGCGAAAGATCTTTTTTATAACCGGCATTACACACATCTTAAGATGTTTTGAACGTGTTTAAAAATAGAGAAAATAATATTTAATAAACAACTGATTGAATTACATTATTGCTAGCTCATTGTGAGGCTAGCCCACCCTCTCTCCCTTAGTGTAGATAATATCGTTTGTTAAAAAAAAAATCATTTGACAATTAATTTAATCACATTATTATGTGCATGTAAAGACTTTTTTTATAACCGTCATTACATGCCTCTTAAGATGTTTTGAACATGTTTAAAAATAGAAAAATTGAATCATATTATTGCTAGCCTATTATGAGGTACTAATTAAAATAATTATAAAAAAATCACAAAAAAATAATTATTAAAAAAACACTATTAAAATGATGAAAATGCCCATGCCTTATTTGATGCATTATTTTGGGATGCCTTTGAAATTTTTTGTCTTGGGGACATTTTTATCCAAATTTTTTTGTTGAAGCTTGGTGACACAAAAATCACTATTCACCTTTTGTGTTGGCTTTATATATAAGATAACTAGTAAAACTCTATTTTTCGTTTTTCTTTTTCAAGACTTGTTTTGTAAAACGTTATGCGACTTGCCGCCTTCTCTAAAATATATGCAAAGGTTAGTCTGTTGTTTTGGGGGGTTTTTGTTGAAAAAAAGGAACACATACATGATACAGGCATTTACAAAGCTTTAATAGGGACTTTATATACAAACTATCCATAAATAACTTTAATGGGGGCCATGGGCTTTTCTTTAGCGTCCAGTTTAACGTAAAAAATAAAAGTACGCAACCGTCTTATTCATATCAGGACTATATGAGAAGAAGATTAATCTGTGACCGAAGTGTGCCTATTACTACTCTTTGTTTTTATGCTTTTTTGTTTTTTTTTTGTTACTGCAATGTTACATTATTACTCTAAGATACTTTAAGGAAAAAAAAGAAAAGTTTATTTTCGAAATGTAGTAGCGTTGAAGAGAAAATCCACTAGAGTCATTTACCACCTTTTTTCTTTTGTTATCATTTAGCACTTGTTATTATTTATATTGTTAAATGAATAGTAGGCACTCCCTGTCAATTGTCGTACATGTTAAAAAGCCTCTTATACCCTTTCTTAACCATCTCACTCATCCTTAAGCTAAACATAAAAAAATCCTCAGTAGTCAATAATACGTAGTATACGTGCAGCAGGTTCCCTGCCCACGTATACCACACTTGAGATTCCAATCCCGAAGGACCAATCGGCAGAGGGAAATTAAAGAAAATTAAAAATTAGATAAGGAAGAAACATCAAGTTTTAATCAAAGAATGTGGCGTTGAAAATTATTAGTTAATAGATTGAACGTAAATATCACGCTGTTTGATAGTATTACTTTGTCAAGTGGCCAGCCTAAACAAAGTTTTGCTGATTCACTGCATGACAAAATGATTTGCATAATATATACGTTTAGCTATAATCATTCAATTATAGACTTAAAAAATATACAATTAATTGATATCTTTACTAATTAATGAAACACATTCTTTGTCAATCAAAAGAGGATGAAAAGACAACTTAGTCTTCTATCACACAAAAAAAATGATGGGTAATAAAGTAATTGCACAGGTCCAAATTTTACTGTTTTTTATTGAAACCTCACATACATGTGATATTAAAATACCTCTAATATTAAAAAAAAAAACTAAAAACAAAACCTCCCACTCTCCCCCCCCCAACACACTCTCTCTCTCCCCCTCTCTCCTTCTCATTTTCTAAAAAAATATGTTCATAAACATAAAGTGTGTAGGCAAATACTAGTATCTAATAATGTAATAAATAATGCATTCTTCATGTGCAGTGCAAGCATATATATTCACCATAGTAGTTGCAGTATCACAAAATAAAGGTTAAAGTGAATAGTACCATGATTGTCTTTTTAGTGTAAAAGTATGATTTTTCGTTCAAGTAAATAGTACCATAAACTTTTCGTTATAGTTTCCAATATATATATTAATGAGACCAGTTGGTGACTTTGCCTAAGCATTCCACCTTTTCAAGGGTCAGAAAGACTCACGAAGGGATTTCAACTTTTCTCTAGCTATCATCGTGTGATTCACCAGTGCCAGAAATCAAACCCAAGATACGCCGTATAGAATACGGGTTTGAAATTCGTGGCCAACAATTGAACCACCTTGCGGTGGTTCTACTACAAATATATTATAGAATGATTGCTAAACTGTGATCCTGTATCTATTGTGCGCCCGCGCGTGTGTGTTGTGTTCCCTCTTGTGAATGAATTTAATTAGTGATATGTTTGAACGTTTAGTAAGCGATTAATTTTGTGGGAAAAAATAATACAAATATTTAGATACGTCTGCTCATAAAAAGTTTGATGAATTTTGCTAATGTTCAACTAAGTTTTTAAAGTTTAAGCTTTAGAATGTGGATTAACATGCTAACAACATTAGACCATCAAATAAGTTGTCTTATGCGATGTTTTCGAGGTGCATGGATGCTATGTAAATTTTAACCCATTAATTTATAATTACTTCAAGTTAAAGAGTTTATCATCAGTAAATATGTTAATTTTGTGTCAATGTCCAAACAGTTTCACTCTGTATACCTTATATATGAATTAAATTGTGAATTTTACACTTTAGAAAAAAAAAAAAGTCTAGTCAACCATTTAAATTAGAAAAATGAAAATTCAAATTTGAATAATTGAAATCAGCTATTAAACCCCTCTAAACTATTCAATATATAACAGCTCTGATGGCTTCCAGTTAATTAACAACTGAAAGTTGAACAGTGTTGTGAGCCTGAGAATATGCAGTTGTTTGGTTTTTTAATAATGAATGGTACAGAGGAAGACAGGAGGGGCAATGGTATGAAGTTGGGAGAAGGGGCCGCGTCGGGGGAGTTGGGGACAGGGAAGGAGGTGGTGTTGGAATAATTTTATAAATATAAAGGAGAAGAAATTCCAAGTGGAAATGGAATACATTATGAATGACGTAGTTGATATGTTATACTTTAAAATATATTTTTCTCTACTTATATTATGACATATAATACATATACTGTAACCAACGGTTCAATTTGAACAAAGGAACTTGAACCAACGGTTCAATTTTTGAATAAATAAATTTGAACTCAAGTAGTAGGTACTTCTTTGTTTTAAATATGATTAAGGAAGCCGCCGATTGGATTATATTTACAGAATTGTGGCGCAAGTTATGGTGCATTTTGGTAGTTGAATAATGGTCTATGATTTTGCATCTGATGTAATTTAGCGGTCAATATATTATAGGATCTTTAAGGAGAGAGATTCTCACTTGTTACAAGAAATTGAGACTAGTTGCGGGACTTATTTTATATTCTTATCGTCTT